TCTTTACGTAGTCACGGAGCGACTCTTTTGGGTTTTTCTTCTTGTTGAAAAAGTGGTCGAACTTTTTCTTGATGAGCGGTAAGATGAGTATTCTTTGGTGATAACCAAGGAAGGATCATCAAAATTCGAGATGGATCATGAGGGCAAGGTGTGAAACTAATCTTGTACCTCACCTTGTAGAGTGATAGCGAATATTTTGCACATAAGGGCATCGTTATTCCGGGAAAGGACCATTGCGCGTGGTAGTGCTTCAAGTGCCTCTCCAGATCTCCATCTCCTTTGAAAGATGTGAAGTGTGGCATGCTAAACTTGCATGGAGGCTCTATCTGCTCGATCTCGTCCGTGAAGGATGACCTGCTCATGTTGGTCATATCTCGCCGTAGTGCTTCATCGACCACTTCGTTGCATTAGAAATCATGTAATTGTTCATTGAGGAGTCTCTTTACCTCTTCTTGGATTTTCCTTTGTTGGGGTAGCAGAGCTCTCGGTTGCCCCCGGTCTTAACCTGCTAGTCTAAGCTGCTCTTCTATGTTCTCGGCATGTCCATGTCACGGCAGCGGTGCATGTGATCCATTCCTAGCAAGCAAGAGAATTCTTTGCAGGATGCCGGTTGAACTTGAGCTGAATTGAGTGACTATTTCTCTCCGTTCGTCGTGTTGTCTACTCCGATGAGATGTGGAAGTTGCTTCTTGCGGGCCTAGCCGCGAGTGAACGGTTTTCCTGGAAGACTGCTCATGTTGATCATCGATGTGTGGTCCTAACCGTGAGTGCATACTTGCCCCTAGGCTTAGTACAGAGTGTACACTTCTCCGCGTGTTAAGACAAAAGTATACACTATCTCGAGGACTTAATCAAGAGTGTACGCTGCTCGAATGCTCAGTTCATGGCTGATTAAGTGGGTTCTTGCCGGGACACTGCTAAAGAGGTTCTTCGTCTACCCTTGTCCTACTCCGGGACACCTCACCTGAGACACATTAGATCTTGGTGCATTGCAAGAGCTAATTCACCAAGGTCGTATATTGTGCAAGGGCGATCATTAACTCTATAACTTGTCGAGACAAGTGTTGTTCGCCATTCGGATTAGAAGAGCTTGGAAGGAACATGCCTCCTTGAGCAGTGGAAGGGTGGCAAACTCCAGGCGCGAGATTTGAGTTGGGAAATGTCAAATCCGCAGAGAAATGTGGTGAAAATGCCCCCAGCTTGATGGTTGGTCCGGATGGTTGAGATATTCTCGAGCCGACTTGGGCTGTTTAGGAAACCATGGAAGCAGGCTGGGCGGCAGGAACAAGTGGGCCGTGAAAGCAGGTTGCTCGGCATGTGATGCACCCGGGTGTGAGGGTTGGGCTCGGCTTGGCAACATGTTGGCTCACATTGGGCATGGAATGACATGGTTTGGGCCGTGGCCTTAGTACCATAAGCCTTGGATGGCACGGCTCGGGCCGTGGTGGTGACACCATGGACCTAGCCGTGGGTGGCTACCATGGTGGCCATCGCGATGGTTCCTGTGGTGGAAACTCATGGTGGTTCCCGTGGTGGAAACTCATGGATGTGGTGCCGCTCCATTTATTATCACATTTAGCCTCGTGGATCGCCGCGGTCCTATCTCTTGAATATTGGAATTTTCACTTCTTGAATTCTCTAAATTTCTAGCCATTGTACTTCCCTTTTACGTTTTTTTCAAAGAATTTTTTAAAATAAAAAAATTCTACTAATAAAAACTTACAAAAAATCTACAAATGGACAAGAAAATAGAAAAACCTTGGATGCGAGAGTCTTCCACAAGTGTGGGACTCAACTCTCAATGAAAGCACCAATTTGTGGATGCAAATTTCTTCTTCCTTGTTCTTGGACAAAATTGCACCTACAAAACAAATAACACGCCAAAAGCCTCACGCGCCCACGATGAATTTTGGGGGCGGGGCGCCCGGGGGGGTGGGGGGGGTGGACTTTGGCCGAAGAACCTCCGATGCCAAAGTTAGAATTTTGAGGGAAAAGTGTTTGGAGAATTTTTGAGTGTTTAGCAAGAGTGAAAACTTAGCCTTTTAGAAAAAATGAGGTAGAATATATAAGGCATGGCCAGTTCCCTTGGGAGAGAAGGTGACCGGCCTCTTGTTTGTTTTTTTGGTGCAATTGGTAATTTAATTGGCCATTAATAGATTAATTAGGTAATAAATCCACTAATTATCCAATTAACATAATTTAAAACGAATGTTTTGGGGGTTACCTTGTGGAGAAGATGGATGAAATAGGTTTTGAATAAATACCTATTTTGGGCACTTTTGACTTGATTGTGGGATGTTTGCCCACTGCTCGCGAGTAGGAATTCCGGTGTTCCTCAAGGGTAATTTTGTCTTTTTTGCCCAAAAATCCACATGTCGCCTCTTGATTATTTTTGGCTCCACGTGTATGGTACAGATACAGTAGCACTGAGCTCAACCTATTCGACAATGGATAAGCTTGCGGAACTTGTTACCAGATAAAATGTTACGGGGCAAGTGCATGCTTTAGAAATTCACCACTGTCACTGCCACCAACCTTTGTCCGCCAAACTGGTCCAAGGACTCCAATGCCGGAGGCTGGTGCAACCCTCCTCGCACACACTTCGACATGGCCAAACCTGCCTTCATGAAAATTGCTCAGTGGAAGGCCGGCATTGTCCCCATCATGTACCGCAGGTATGCCATAAAAATTTTAGGAGACATTATGGTTGGTTTACTGAATTGCAACACTTAGTAAACTCGTAGACTACTGAGACTAAAATGAAACTTCGCTTAAACTATGGCAACCAAAATTATGATTTGGCCTTAACTAAATAGTTGATTGCATAAGATCACATTTTCACAATTGGACTGCAAACCTTCTATGTAATTTTCTTGCAGAGTTCCGTGCATGAGGTCAGGCGGGCTTCGATTCTCTTTCCAAGGAAACAGGTACTGGTTACTGGTATATGTGATGAATGCAGCAGGAGGAGGTGACATTTCAAGCATGTGGGTGAAGGGAACCAGATCAGGGTGGATAAAAATGAGCCATAACTGGGGAGCCTCGTACCAGGCATTTGCAACCTTGAAAGGTCAAGCTCTCTCTTTCAGGCTAACTTCCTGCACAAGCAAAGAGACTATATTTGCGTGGAATGTTGCTCCTTCAAACTGGAATGTGGGTTTGACCTACAAATCAAATGCGAACTTCCATTGATGCACAAGAAGCACGCAAATATGCAGAGATTATGAGATTAATTAATATACCTATTTACCACACTTTTTTGTTTTCTTAATTTTCTTCTTTTGCCCCACCACTCAGTATTACGATCTAGTGGTATTCCTCTTCACTTAGAAGTGAGAGGTCTTAGGTTCGAATCTCGTGGATGGCAAATTCGATACCAAATTAGATTGCCCATTGTGTGACTTAGTTGAACTCTCCCTCCCCTAGTGTAAAAATATCGATGTACTAAAAATAAAATTCTTCATTTGCCCCAAGGCCTTTATCAGTAGCTTTGGCTTGGCAAATTTTTCCTTTGTTAATTTGCATCTGATATATCCTTTGCTAAAGGGATTTTGACTGACCACAATGAGAGTGGACAACTTGTTTCCAGTATTATTTGGTTGAAACGAAGTGTTTTGCAATGCAATTGGTAGATTGTCTTAGTAGATGGATCATTTCTCTTCAACTTACTGCATTTTAGGTTTAATCACTCTTAGCTTATAGCTTGTAATACATAAACAAAATGCAAATATCATCTTACTAGTAAAAGTTGTTATCATCTTTCATATCATACATTTCCACTCTTGTATGAATTTGAAAAATGCTTTTGTCCCAATAATATTTGTAACATTTAGAGCCATAACAAATTTAATTTAGAAGACACTTATGTTACCGGTAAAGTACCAATATGATCATCATCATCAGCCTTGTCAGCAAATAGCATCAAAAGCATGAAAAAAGACCTTGTGATCAAAGGAAAGGGATCCTCTCCGAATCCCTTTCACCAAATCCTTCCCATCAACTAATTCGGACCCTTGAAATTTAATCTAATGGTTAAAAACAAAAGCCCATTTTAAAAATTATAATAACTTTAGCCGTTGTATCAAATTTCAAAAGTCCAAATTGACTAATGGGAAAGATTTAGTGGAAGAGATCTGGAAATGATCCCTTTCATTGATCAAACAGCACTTTTAGTCAATGGTGATCTAACACCACTTCACAAACACATAATAATGCACTCTTAGACTGTCAATCCCAAATTGGGAAGTGATCATAAAAAATAAGAGGAGTATTTTATGTTCGCCCTCTTAAATTAAAATGCTAAGCGTTTCGGTTGGTTAAAAGAATATACTCAAGCAGTCAAAGTCGTACGTTTCACTCTCTTCTTTTCTAATATTGTTCGTATAAATTAAAATTAGATTGTAAATGACAACTAAAATAGACACGTACACAGCTTCAATAGATAACCAAAAACGCAATATTTTGTCCAAAACACCCACAAGACATTGAAGACAATGGTCATTGCCACCATGTTGTTTGCATTTTTGTATACTATTTCATCCATGTGAATTGTGGGCCATATAGAGAGGAATCAAATGAAATGACATGCTTGCTATAAACGTGAGCCCTACACTTAAAGTGGTTAAAGTGGGGAACATGTTATCAAACACAATTAGGAGTATTATCTCCGATTCCCTCCCAAAAGAGAGCCATGCCCTCTCATTGCATTGCCCTAAGCACGCTAAGCCTCCCTTTTCCACTTCCTTTTGCCATCATCACAAAGGCTCCAACATCATTTCTTCAAACCTTATCATATGATGGTCCTATATGACTACTCTCCTTTTCCAACCCAATATTTTACTTTCTTTTTCAGAAACCCAATTTTCCATTTTCTCATGAAACAAGCAGGCATATATATTTTGGTGTTGTAGAGACTTGATTTTGTTTAGGATCAGAAAATGTCAAAACCACCTAACATATATTCTCTCCAAGACCTATATAAGGGGAGAAACAAAGTAAGAACTTTCTTTTTCCTTTTTATTTGCTTACCCTTAATTAATCCACCATTGCTTTTTCTGAGTTATAAAGTCCTCAAACAGTTTAAGCCTAACTCTTTGCAGCCCTGTACCTGTTTAGATCTAGTTTTTCATAGAATTTGATAAGCCAAGGCCATATTCTTTTAGGGTACAAGTTTCCGAGAAAATCAACCAAAACCATTGTAGATTTATTTATTTATTCTCACATATGGGCTCTCTCTTCTATCTCACATTGGTTGTTCTTTCATTCATATGTGCAGTGTTAACAAAAACTGAAGCTCAGAAGATCCAATCAGCCCGTCTTCTCGACCTTCTCATTCGAGACATCACCTTCAAGGCGTATGACACACGCATCAAGACAGGAACACTACACACTGTAAATTTACCGGCAAACTTCTCTGGCATATTTGTTGATACAGCAAGGTTCAGATGTGGAAGTCTGCGAAGGTACGGCGCGCAGATAAAAGAATTTCGTCTATGCACTGGTGTATCTGTGCATCCGTGTGCTGAGAGGGTCATGGTAGTTAGACAAAACTTGGGATATAATTGGTCTTTGATATATTATGCCAACTATAACCTATCTGGATACCAGCTTGTTTCTCCAATTTTAGGCCTCTTAGCATATAATGCCGGTACTGATGTGAACTTCAGCAACCCTTTTGAGCTTGGCATTGAAGCCGGAGAAAAACCCATCAGCATTGACTTCAAAAACATCACAAGGATGAGCAACGAATTGGGTACGAGGCCATTATGTGCAAGTTTTGAAGGTGATGGGAAAGTGACATTGGCAAGGGAAACTAAACCTTACATTTGTGCTGCAAAAAGGCATGGACATTTTGGGTTGGTCATCAACAAACCTATTCCGGTGCAGTTGAGGAAGAGAGTGAGCCAGTGGAAAGTCGCGGTTGGAAGCTCGGTTGGATCTGCATTGGGTGCTTTTCTTTTGGGGCTGCTTCTGGTGGCAATGCTTGTGAAGGTGAAGAAGCAGTCGAGGATGGTGGAGATGGAGAGAAGGGCTTATGAAGAGGAAGCTTTACAGGTATCAATGGTTGGACATGTAAGGGCTCCTACCGCATCGGGTACTCGAACAACGCCAACAATCGAGCATGAGTATATACCTCCTCCTCACTGAATTGAATTCAATTTTGTTCACACTAAATTATTCTTTTTGTAACATTATTTAGTGAAATGGAATTGTGAGATAGAGTTGTATTGTATTTAACCAAATTTTCCAAGGCTCCATTTGTTGCCACTACTAAAAAAATAGGACTTGCTCTACGAACATTTGCGCGACACAACAACTTTCATAGGGTAAAATATCTTTACCCAATGGATATTTCAGTTGGTAGGACGAAGATGGTCAACATTTATGGTTTACTCAAGTAATATTTGTCGGACAAACTTTTCGCAAGAAGATGGAAAAAAATGGCGCGCAATAGTAGAGGATTTGCTCGACGCATACCTATTACTTACATGACAAAATGATTCGTTGGGCAAACCCCTATTCATCAATTTATAAGTATGTGCCTTCCTCTTCCTTTTTATCCTCAATACCTTCGTCTTCCTCTTTCTACTTCGTCCCTTCCTCTTCATCTTTCTCCCTTCTCCCCTTCTTCTTTTCTTCAATACCCCCTTCTCCCACTACCCAAACCCTACCATTTCACCACTTTGCACAAAGGTCCCCAAGTATGTCATGAAAAACACCAGCAGCAAAGGCATGACTATAGTGGCCAGAGTCCATAATTAGAATTATGATGGTACCTAGGTTGACACAACTAGCTAGGGGAAGGAGGGTCACCTTTAGTTATGGAGGTTTAGGGAGTACATGAAGAGGAAATCACCATAATGTGAAAGAACATAGTGAGGATACCACTATAATGTCGAAGAAGGTAGTAACGAAAAGTTACTCGAATGTCTGGCATGCAAAAGAACATGGAGTGGAAACCACCGTAATGGCCAAAACTCTAAATGCTATGACTGAGCCTTTTTTAAAGCTCTAAATCCTATGGCTTAGCCTTTTTGCATTGTACTTAAGTTAGAATAAACTTTAAGTGTTTTGTAATCCCCAACAAATGCATTAGGCATTGCAAAATCAGATTTGTCTTGTATCACAACATTGACTAATATCATGTAAATTTATCTTCCATCACTGTGATAACTCATATATTTCATGCATTTATACCATCATTTTCTAATCTTTTTGTGATGTTTTTGAGTTAAACTAGTTGCATTTTACCTTATTTTGTGTTAGTGTGCAGTTACATGTACTTTAGGATCAATTTTGAAGGCAAAAGAAGTGAAAACATGCCATTTTTGGGGTTGACCCTTATTCAAACGTGGAAAGAAGTTTAGTGGCCTGTTTTGAAGCCCAAATAAAGAATCCAAGACAAATCCGGCTTGTTAGAAGACCAGGAGCAGAATGGGAAAGGAATTGGAATATCTAGCCTGATTTGGAGGAGCCAAATAAGGAAAAACATTCAAAACTTTGGCTTAATGGTTGGGATCACCTTGCAATCAACTGCAACCCCATTTAGCCTATAAATACTAGGGTTTCATATCACTTTTTCACAAGCCCCCCTTGGGGGTCTCCCAGAGCTCTCTCTCTTCTCTTTCTTTAGCCTTTCTACCATAAACAAAACCCTATTTCCCTTCACCATCCATTGCCACCGAAGAAATCACACACCCGTGCTGTTCTTGAAGGATTTCAACATCAGAATTGCTTCAAGGGGGTTTCTTCTATGAACTTTAGTTTCATTCATGTTGTTCTTGATATTTATATATTCTGTAATCATGTTGTGTAATTAAGTTCATAGTTGGGGATTTCGATGTAGCCTTGCAAAACTATTACATGTTATTAAGTTAAAGTGTTCGATTCATCCATCTGTTTTCTTGTTTTATTCACTGATTTTATAGTTCAATTTGTTTGGTTATCTTAATATTTGATAACCATTATGGTTTGTTACAAATTATTTGATCAAGGTTATAGTACACATCATGCTTAATCTTGGTAGACATGTGGATGAATGAAGAAACTGCTATACATACATCCTGCCATTTGATTTCTTTGGTTCTTGGAAGTTTTCTAGTTCTTAATGGATTCTTATTTGGTAATCTAAGTTGAACATCAAAACTAGGTTGCAGATTAGGAGTACTTGATCACAACCACACATCAAATGGATGATCATAAATGAGTAAAACGAACCCTAGTTGCAGATTGGAGAGTTGAATACGTTTTGACCTAATTTTCTTGGAATTGGCTTGTAACGGTGAAATCGGTATCCCTAGTTCCATTCTCATTATTTCTGAATCAACCTATCATTTATCTTTATCATTCTTGCATTTTTAAGTTATTTAAGTTTTCAATTGAAAAAACAAACACTTAGTGGAATTATAAAAAAAACACTTAGTGTTTTGGAATCAATGCTTTATAAGGGGACATGCATTCTACGAAACTAGTTTGGGCAATCTAACTACCAAACATGTTTGCATATAATTCAAGATTTCCTACACAAAAAATTCCCAAAAAAAAAACTTCGAAGATAAAGTAACAGGACAAAATAAAGGGTACACTAAACAACATAGCTTTTGCTCAATGTTTGCCTTATACTTAACTAATGGAGGGTGTAGGACCATGATTTTCTAGGGTTAGAGTACCACTGATCCGAATATAGTTACCTCAAAAGTCCGGTCATGGACTCACCGGCTTCAGGCAGAGCTGGATTAGACGGAGTAATGGTGCCACCATCACTATATTATAAGGCAGTAGGCGGCGTCCTAGTGACTTTGCTAGATGACCATGCTTGTTCCGCAAGATACGTGATTTGATCCAGATGTGGACACAATCATATCTCTTAAGTCCTAAGACCATCTCCAATGGTGACCTAAAACCTAAAAATATTTAGCCCAGAAAATTTAGGTTTTAGCCCAGAAACAGCTTTTCTACTCCAACCCTTCTGGCTTAAAATTTTAGCCCTAGATTATCAAAGAATGAATTAAGGCTATTTTTTTTTTTAAATTAACTTTTTAAAAAAAAAATTTATGTAGACTATCCTAAATTAATTTTATGAACATTTTAACCTAAAAATATTTAAATTCCGATAAATTTTGAAAAATCACTAAATCAATACATGAAAATCAAGATAAACAACATAAACTTAATACCAACGACATTTAATAAACCACATAAACTTAAAAAATAAAAAAGACAATTAATAAACCACATAAACTTAAAAAATAAAAAAAACAATTAATAAACTACATAAACTTAATACAATCGAAAACTCATAGACTACATAAACTTAAAAATGATATTCACCATCTTGACTTGGTGATGGACTTGGGTGATAGTCTTGAGATGAGTCATCATCTTGAAATATACTCCTTGTGGCATTCCTTCGTAAAATTTCCTTTTGCTTACCACGTAAGTATCTCTTCCTCTCTGGAGTGTATTTGTCGAGGTCCTCCATTATCAAATTAGTTTCGTACCTTTCTTGCTCCCTATCCCCTTCTTCCTTCATGGCCAAAAGCATTTGGGCCGATTCTTCTTGCCGACGGCACTGGATTTCCTTCATGGCCAAAAGCATTTGTGCACGTGTCGGATCTTGGGACTTCCCTTTTCTCTTTGCTTCCTTTTGCTTATCTCTACCCGGGGGCCTTGCAAAAGAAGAAGTTGGGGTCATTTGTTCGACACCTTCATTGTCGGCAAAATTCACACCTTCATTGACATCATTTGGGGGTGGGGCTTCATTATGAAATAATCTTCCACATTGTTGGTTCGCATCGGTTCCCCACCTTGGACAATCCTTGAGGATGTTCCAAGCATGATGCAACTTAAAAGCTTGATTTTTTGGTGTAGTTCTTGTCTTGTAAATTGCCATTGCTTTGTCACCCTATGCAACAAATACATAAAAACAATTTGTTGCAAAATACTATTATGTACATGACAACTAAAATATCAACAAATAAACTCACAATTTCTGAGGCGCCCCTTCCACTAGGCATGTCAACCATGGCTCTCTCCAAGCTTCCTTTCCACAAAGTGCATGCTTTGTTGATAATCTTCCACGGATCATAAACACCACCAACTTCCCTTCGACCGGCGTTGGAGTTTTCATGGAACTTAGCAACGATTTTACCCCATAAAACCTTTCTATTTTGATTGGTGTCGACGGCACCATCTTCGCTAATCGAAATCCATGCCAAACATAAAGCAATATCTTCGTCAAAGGTCCAATTACGACCTCTAACATGCTCTTTTGCCATCTTGAAAATTCTAGAAATGAGAATAAATGGTATAAAGAAAAATTGGAAGAATTGTAGGAGAAAAGTGAGTTTTGTGTGGATGTTTGAACAAATACATAGGTATTTATAGAGTTTTTGGTTGAATTTTAAGTTAAATAATTTTTATAAATTATTCTAGCCGTTGGATTTAAATTTGGACCGTTAGATCTTTTTTTTTACCGTTATATTTAATTATATTTGATCTAAGCCGTTGGATTCAATAAATACATAAATATAAAACTAAAAAAAAAAAAAAAATTGAACCTGGACCGTTGGATTAACCAACGGCCCAGTAATCAGTCACCGTTAAATTTGTAAAGCAGCCCAACGGCTACTTTGTTGCAATTATTGCGTAGGGAACAGCCCACGTGGGGCTGTCGAGTGGGAGTCTAAATTGGAGCGTGCGGCGCGTGGGAGAGTGGATGAAAGGAAAGTGGGCTTCACAGCCCGTGTTTCACTCACAACAGGTAGGGCCCATAATGAGTTTTGGCCTAAAAACGGGCTGGTATTTGGCCTTCTTTTAAGTTTTAGGTTTTAGGTTTTATTTAGCACATGGGTTGGAGTGGGTTTTGGGGGGGGAAAAAAGGGAAATTTTAGGTTATAAGCCATTGTTGGAGATGGTCTAAGAGGGTGCAATATGACAACACATCCCTAAATTTATGTTTTTATTTATTTTAATTGAGAGAATTGACGAAAATGCCCTAGAGGCAAGAACTTTGACTTTCGTTGACCACCATCTAGAAAAACATATGGCTTATTCTTTCAGCGTATTTGAGTAGCACTCGTTGGTATGAACACATAGGCGAAAGTTGTTTGCGAGTTCAGATTATAACGGTATAGTTATGGACGTTCGAAGTTGTTTTTCCTTATTTTTTTATCTTAATCCTTTATTTAAATGAATTCCCACCTCCCAAT